TTGGACAATTCAAGAAATACCACTGGATAACACCGGAGGGGAGACTCAGATATTGGAAATGTCTATGCAGGAAATGCCACTGGAGATGCAAAGTCAAGAAGTTTCTGCAGTAGAAGGGGGTGAAATCCAAGAACAACAGTTTGAGATGAATGAAATGACAATTCATGAAATACCACTGGATATGACCGGAGGGGAAACTAAGATACTGGAAATGTCTATGCAGGCAATGCCACCGGAGATGCAAAGTCAAGAAGTTTCCGTAGTAGAGGGGGCCGAGATCCAAGAACGGCAGTTTGAGATGAATGAAATGACAATTCAAGAAGTGCCACTAGATATGACCGGAGGGGAAACTCAGATATTGGAAATGTCTATGAAGGAAATGCCTTTGGAGATGCAAAGTCAAGAAGTTTCCGTAGTAGAATGGGGCGAAATCCAAGAAGAGCAGTTTGAAATGGATGAAATGACAATTCAAGAAATACCACTGGATATGACCGAAGGGGAAACTAAAATATTGGAAATGTCTATGAGGGAAATGCCACTGGAGGTGCAAAGTCAAGAAGTTTCCATTGCAGAAGGGGGCGAGATACAAAAGCAGCAATTCGAGATGAGTGAAATGTCTATACAAGAAATGCCCTTGGAGATACAAAGTCAAGAAATTTCTGTTCTGGAAGGGGGCGAGATCGAAGAGCAGCAATCTGAGATGAGTGAAATGACCATACAAGAAATTCCGCTGGATATGGCTGGGGGAGACGTACCAACAAAAGAAATGTCTATGCAGGAAATGCCTTTGGAGATGCAAAACCAAGAAATTTCAGTTGTGGAAGGGGGTGAGATTCAAGAGCAGCAATTTGAGAAGAGCGAAATGACTATACAAGAAGTGCCACTGAATATGGCTGGAGAAGGCGTTCAGACTCATGAAATGTCTTTCCATCAGCTGCCAGTGGAGAGGCAAAGTCAAGAAGTTTTCTTTGTGGAAGGAGGAACAACGCAAGCAGAGCAGCTTGAAAGCACAATGCAAGAAAAGCCATTAGAAGAGGACGATGCCAGGAGAGTTACTGAAAGTCAGAAACAAGTTCAGTTGGATAATAGTCTCATTCAAGAGGAGCAGGCACCTGTGAAACAGACAACAGAAGCTGTTTCGAATATTGGAGAATCCAGCTGGAGTATAGAGGAAATAGGAACCTTAGAGGAACAAGAACCTGAGCAAAGTTGGAGCATGGACGTAGTTGGGACAATTGTTGACCAGGAAAATGGCCATCGGTGGAGTACAGAAGAAGAAGGCATTATGACCCAAGAAATGATGTCAAAAGATAATAGTCAGAAAGTTGAAAAATCCGTCAAGAAGAAGAAACATAATCAAGCGAAATCTGAAGAGGTTCAGTCTATCGATGACGTTGCATCTGTTGTTGACAACAAAAAGAGCGAAGCAATGAAGTCTGACGAAGTTGATAAGAAGGTAATTGACAAAAAAACCACATCAGATCAAACTGAAGTAACACAGAAAGAGACCTGCGATCATAACATATTAATAGATCAATTCCTGGAAAGAATTACCAAACTTGAGAAAGAGAAAGAGTATTTAGAAGGACGTTACGACGAACTACGAAAAGAGAGAGAAACTTTGGTGATTTCAAGTAAGGATAGACTGCAAAGGACGGAGGATCATCATCATTGTTGCGATATCTTGAAAGACTATAGTAGCTTGATAGACTACATCACGACTCCGAGGGATGTCTCATCACAGGACTACAGTAGGGTGCAAGGTTATGATTTTACCCAGACTTGCGATGTCCATGAAAGTGTTAGAGAATTTAGTAGGAATTCAAATCAACTGTCAAATGACTGTGAGTATTATAAATCCAAGTGTGATCAAATAAAACGTGAAAAGGAACGCCTGGAGAGAGCTTATGAAAACGAAAAGAAGCAGAAAGAGGAGTTTGAAAGGGAATACCAAACTGAAAATGACGAAAAAGTTTACCTCGAAGAAAGGTATCAAGAAATGTTGGAGAACATAAATCGATTTGATGAAACCATCCGGTCCCTGAGACGTGACAATGAGTGCTTGCAAAGCAAACTAAACGAGTGGGCGTCATCTCAAGCTCGGACACACACACTGGACATGGGAATGTTGACAGTACAGCGAGATGACGATGATGAAGATCTTGCAGAATATAAGAAGAATATTCTTGCGTTAGAGAAAGAGAACAGAGAATTCAGGTCAATTCTAGACGTCTTAAGTAAGAAAAACGAGAGCCAAGAAAGCTTAAAGAACATCGAATTTGGACTAGCACGAGAAAATGAGTTTATCGAGTTAAAGCGTGAAAGAGTGAGGTTAGAGGGGAACATAAGAGAGTTGAAAAGAACAAACAAGCATCAACAGAATAGGTTAGAAGAAATAAGAAGAGAATCTTTAACAGAGATTTCTAAATTGAAAGATAAAATCCGAAAATTGGAATGGTCTCTAAAAGAAAACGAAAAAACCCTAGATGACAAGGAGGACGAGATATCTGGTCTGAAAAAGCGACATTCAGAAGAAATTTATGGCATTGAAATGAGACTGCAAAGTCAGATTTCAAACACACTACTGGTAAAGAACCAACAGAAGGATTTACAATCCAAAATAGAACGGCTGGAAGAAGAGAGGAACAGACTCAAAGAGGACTTAAGAAATTCATCTGTTGGTAGCAGGGATCGATATTCTGGCGCAGACTTGGAATACCAGGATATTCAAATGGTTCGTCAAAGGTACGAGGAAGAAAAGAGAAGCAAGATAAGGCTTGCTAACGACATGAAGTATCTGCTAGCTGATATCACGGACCTTAAAGAAAGAAACCACAGACTACAAGATGATTTCCTTCGAGAAAGAATGGAAATAAAAGCGATGATAGAGAAACAGGCCAATGAAATTACTCAGGAGTATCTGACACAGATCAGCAAATTGCAGAGGTCACTGATAGATGAAACTAAAAGAAGGCAAGAGGCCGAAGCTGGCAGAAATGGGCTGATATACAGCGAGGAAAATCATACCAGCTGTACAGGTGTTCAGACGGATATGAATTCCAGGTCTGGTCAAGGTAACAATGATTTCCAGGTGCAGCTAGCCAACGAGATTAGACGACGAGAAAACCTAGAAGTAGAGAATAAGAAACTTCTATATAAACTAAACGAAATTCTATCGGCTGATGCGAATCACAAAGGAATTGACCATGCTAATTTCAAAGGGGCCACTTTGAGAGGAAATCAAACACACAATGTAGGGTCTTCGATAAATAACCAAGAGAGTGTTAAAAAACGGCAAGAACTGCAGAGTGAAATAGATGATCTTCCAGATAAGCTAGAGGTATCGAAAAACGAAGCTAAGAAGAACAAAGAGCTCAAGAGGAAAAACGAAGATCTTGAGGAAGAGGTCACTCGAGTGACTCGAAAGCGAGATGAACTCTTAGCTGGCCAGAGAAACCTCACTCGCGAAGTTGACCATTTGTCTCGCACACTGGAAGATGTGGAAAGGCGAAACAGAAAGCTTTCTGAAGAAGCTGAACGATTCACGCGGAAGATTCAGGAACTTGAAGATTCATTCCTTCAAGAAAAGATAACATTGACAAGAAATTACGAAAATGAGAAGGCTAGAGCCGTAGAAGAAGTAACAAAAGCAAAAGAAGCTTGTGAGAGAAGACTTCAGGTGCAAACAGAAACAACAAGAAGGCTTGAGGAGAAAATACTACGCCTAGAAGGACAAATATCAGCAAGCGTTGGGACTCAAACGGGGGGCTCCCTCACTACACTCCCTTCGGATAATGGCGCTACAAAAGATCGTAGGAGTCGCATTATTCATTCACAAGACGAAAAATTAAAGGAAGAGGTGGAACATTTAGAGGCTATGTTAAAAGATGCAAACAAAAAGCATGCAGATGACCTCAAGAATCTTGAGGCACAAAAACGACGAATGTCAGAAGAGTTTGACAGAGAGAGACAGTCATTAGAAAAGTACTTTGAAAAAGAGAATAGAACTCTGAAACAAAGGCTGCAAGATGTTGAGTCGAGTATCCGTGGAGACGGTGTGGGGTTTATTGGCATAGAAGGAGAGAGTAGAGAACACAGTATTAGCAATTTAGGAAGGAGATCTCCTCCAAACATTGAAGGAACAAAAGATTTACCTCGATTTCAATCCAGGAACGAAATATACGGCAAGAAATCTAAAGAAAGTGAGTTTCAGCAAAAAGTCCAGGAGATGGAGAGAAGATATGATGAAGAGAAAAGGGATATTTTGAATCGAGCCTCAAGGGAGAAGGCAAAGTTAGAGGACGAAGTAAGAGAAGCTAAGGAGAAACTTACTAGTTATCGCCGTTTACTCGAGGACGAAATCGAAGACTTGAAAAGGAAGCACCGAAAAGAAATAGATATACTAAATGAAGAGCTATTAAAACAGAGGGCCGAATTCGAGGAAAGACTTCGTACGGCGGAGTGTACCGTATCAAGAGGCATGATCGGTGCGTCGACCATTTATGACAACTCAAATCATTTTGATCAGATTAACGAAACAAGAAGAGAAGATGGCCTTCAAGACAAAAAAAGTCCCAAAGCAATGGTTGGAACGTCGGGAACAAAGAGAGATCGATATGGCTTTCAAGAATTTGATAGAGCCTTTTCCCAAGAACCCGGGAATCCAAATGATGTGGGCGCTCGAGACGGAAAGTCAACTAAGATAACAAGCCAATATGGTTTTGAAGATGACAACAGAGTTGGAAGAGGAAGAAAAACTGTTGAAGATGGTATGGGAGGAAGAGCTGGTCTAGAAAATGAAACTATAGTGTACAGAGAAGAAACGAGAGATTATCAAAGCCAGTCGCAGAACGAAAAGAGAAAGTTTATGGAGGCAATACATTCTCTGACGCAGGAGGTTAACGCTCTTAAAAATGAAAAGAAAGAAATGAAGAATTGCTTCAAAAAAGAAATGGAAAAGCTGACAAAAGTCAACGATGTCGAAAAGAAAACCATTCGGGAAAGAGCAGAGAGAGATAAAGATGACGAAGTAACACGAGTAAAAGAAAATTATGAAGAAAAATTGGCCTCTGAACGAAAAAGACTGCAAGGAAACATTGATGAATTTCGACGAAAGATAGCATTAACAGAAAAAAAAGTCAGGGATATGGAAGCCCAACAACGGAACGAGAGAATGCGTTACCAGGAACAAAAAATGAATGCAGAAAAGAGCCTTATCCAAAGTCAAGATGAGTTAAAAATAAAACTGGAACGAGATTACAGAAAGATGCTGATCGATGAAAAACAAAAATTTGAGCAAACAATTAAAGGATTAACGACACAAATATCTTTCCTGCAAAATCAGAGGAAAGAAATTCAAGATAAGTTGCATAAGAACGATGTGGCAGCCAATGCTAGCGCAAAAACAGAGCAGGAGTCAAGAAGCAGGATGGTAATTCAGATGGAACACGAGTTCTTTGAGCGGGTGCAACGCGAGAAAAGGCCCCTGGAAGATAAAATTAAGGACCTTCAGCAAGAAATCAATAAGCTGAGGAGGGAAAAATCTGAACTGAGTGATGTTCTGGAGGGTGAAAAGCAAGAGCTTGAAAATGAGCGGGAGAAAATGCAAGCAGAGATGAAGAGAAAGCTCAGCAAAGCGAGAGAGGATATGGAGAGAAAGGCGAACGTTATAGGGAAGCATATGGTGGCAACACCTGTAAAAAGTGTCCTCGTAAGTAAATGTTAAACTGATTACTTATGTAAAGATGTATTTATGAAATGGTTTTATATGATCGTTGTACTAAAAGCCTGGCTCTTTTGAACAGGTTGGCTCCGAAACTTGTCATCATTGCGCTCAATCTGATGTTCGACAGTACAAGGAGCAAATCAACTTGGTGGAACAAAGGAATATGACTCTCAAAACCAAAACAGAGAGACTGGAGCGAGAGCTCAGAGTTATCGGTGACAGATTGAAAACTCTGGAAGTACGAAACAAGGATTTAGAAACTGCTAACAGGGAGGAAATGGTGAGAATGATATCCTTTTAATATTAAAAGTTTAGTTTTTTAAGTCAAATCAGATTCAGTTCCTTAGTTTGGTACCAGCTATGGACAAGAGGTACACTTCAATCATAAAGCCAACTGCTACCTTACTCATGAGAATCACTGAATTTGTTTACAGAGCTATGGCAAAGATGTATTCCGGTCAGGTTCTGGACGTTATGGAGAATCAGACATCCGCGGAGCCAACGACCTTTCAACTGGCTCAATGATTAGTGGCATGAGGACGGAAACCAGAATTTTTCAGCCAAACCTTTCTCCAAGACTGAGTTTGGCTAATGGCAGTTCTTTGTCGGGTTCAGGGCTATCCTATGGTGACATTCTTGATAAGGTTCGGTATACAATGCACACCACAGGAGGTATTTATGACGCTCTCAGGGGTCCAATGGCAAGCACAAGCGGAATGGTCAGCGGAGGGTTCCTTGGGGGTACAAGTTCTGCACTAAGGCATGGCAATCCAATAACAGGAGGCACGCTTAATCAATCGACGGTTTCTTCTCTGGGAATAAGAAATATCGAAGTTAGCAGTTCTCTCGGTAATGTAGGCGGAAATTTGATAGCTGAAGGAGTCGGAGGCGCCTCTTATGGCAGAGAAGGGAATCATTCACCGTCTGAACGGTAAAGATAGTGAAAACTCAACCAGAGGACTTAAGTCCAGGCTTTAGTGATCACAATGAGAGCAAATCTTTCTTTCAAGGACAATACAATGACAACTATTTTGAAATATAGGGCGTTGAGATAACTACAGGGGGTATTTTAAAGACCATAATTTATCCAGAATACATTGAACATCACAATCAGGAATTACCACGATGAAAAGAGTTCCCTTATGCTAATGTATCCTTCTTGGCCTTTCACAATCTATTATATAAACCCTATTAGTAATGTGCGGATTGCATGCTCAGTTACGTACCAAACTTCCTTAATTTTCAAAGTTGGCAAAGTAAAAGCTTTTGTTAATTACTAAGAAGCCGATTTTTTTATTTTTTAAAACGGGCACTTAAGAGATCATGTGATCAAACTGCCTCAGTTTGTTATTTTAGTTTCGTTAAGCAATAGTAAGAGATGCATTTGGTTAGTTAAATGCATTAAGCTTTTATAAGTTACAACATGCTCTGGTACCTTTCGTTCTAAATCTTAGTCACGGATATCGTGATTTTGTGTATCCTCTATGAGCTTAAATTTATTTTCTAGGAATTGTTTTTGACATGTTGATACTGTATATATCAAAGAAAGTATCATTCCTTTGTCAGGTCCAGTTTTTTTTAACCTTTTTGCAGGATTCGAATTGCAAATAATTAGATTGGGCACTTTGATTTTCTCTTGGAGGGATCGATACTTTTATTCTTCATATTTTTTATTATTGATTTCTACTTTAAAGGATAGGTTAAGTCGACGTTTGCACGAGACACATGTAGGGTTAAAAGTGATATCAGTTTCACTTATCATGTAATCAAATTTTATTTATGTCTGAATTAATGAGACGTTGTTGGAGCTGTAAAATCGTTAACAAATTTTCCTTCAGATACAGGGGTCACTTTGAGGGGTTTTTAATAGCCGTGTTGAATGCTTCAGTGAAGCACACAGTAGCTTTTAGCGAGCAAAGGAAAAAGATCAAATAAAGGGGCTTTGATCTTATACAGTGTGAGTTTTACATGTAGTGAAGATAATTTTTTTACTCATCACCAGCAAGAAATAGGAATTCTTTACGTGGGCTGGTAATTTCGGCGTACTAATAGTAGAATTTAGCATTCTTTGCATTTTATTTCAGTTTATTAGCATTCCCTCGGGAATACGTTTTGTTTTTCTTTCCCGCGTTCGGTATAATTTACATGTTGTTAATATTCTAGCTTTTTAATTTCATCGTTGATTTCACCATGATTTCACCGAGAGAACATCTGGTTTAGAGTTGCCTTTTTTGGCGGCCTACAGCGCCGATACAATGTAAGTTCCTAGTTATTAGGTTCATCGCGTTCGCTTTAGCCGCCTTTCAGTTTTATATTTCTGAATTTTGTAAACTTGTATTTTTGTTGGTTCTTCATTAGTTCAAACCTCTCCCTCCGATCGAGCGTATGAAATCATTGCTGTAAGCGGCCACGTAAGGACACGCCTTTTGGCAGTAACACTAATAAAGCATTTCAATAATCCTCCTGGAGCTAGGAAGATTTAAAGGTGCAAAATCAAAGTTTGTCTTTAACTCGATCTACACATCAATTAACACCCCCCTCCACTGGGTAAGGCTCAATGCCATAAAATTTGCATCGACACATGGACTGGAAGACCTTCATTTTATTCAATAAGTACGTCATTTGTCACGATCTTCATAAAAGCAGGAACTATTCAATCAGCTTGACTTCAGAACACTTTTTTGTTTCCTTCCTTCATAGCATCTTTAATGCATTGGAGAGGAGCCAGCATGACATTAACATTTTGCTGGTGCATAATTAGACCAAACCGCAAAACCACCCGAGTCCTAAATTCCTAAACCAACACCGCTTTTTAAAGTAGAATAAGTTCGCTCAACCTGGTGAAAAAAATTGCAGGACACGTTACGAAACAAGGCCATGGTAATTCTTAAAGAATTGACTACATGCCACCAAACGGATAACGGTAATTGAGGTTTTCCCTTTGTAAAATCCCGGGAGATTTGTGGTTTTACGTAGCATTTATATCCCACGGCTTTGGAGCAAATTGCATAAAAATGAAAAATGGCAGCTTATTTGTAGTTTTCCTGTTTTTTAAAATGGTTTGAGGGTAAAATCATAATTTCTCAGCAACAAGTCCCCACCCCCCTCCAAAAAAAGATTATTTTCTTCATTAGTTTGACGGGTAAAGCTTTGATTTAAGGTTACATTTCAAATTTATTTTTTTAATGCAATTTTAAATTACTGACATTATTGATGAGGGAAGATACATCTCCGCGTGACCTGCTAAATGGGAAATGCAAATCTATTTGACGTGACAAAACCAACTTCTCTGATTGGATTTCGCCATGGTTGACAATATTTTACTTAACCAACTGTTTACATCCTAGAGAAAATCGGTCTATGTGCCAGAACATAGAAATTCTTCGAACTGTCAACTAAGAAACGAAAGCTTTATCGTTGCAGACGAATCTGACTTAGTCCTTGTACAGAATATGTAGTTATTGTGTGCAGAACATTTTTTGAAAAGTCAAACTTCATAGAGTTCAGGAAACGAAATTCAGGTAGGTTTGCAAAATTATGATAAACGTTCGTTACGAAACTCCTTTGCACAATAATATTGGCAGCTGCTCTTTGCGCTAAGATGGATATGAACAACAGAAAAATACATGAAGGACATGCTTTCTGTACCAGAAAATTGGTGAACTGTCAGTCTTACACTTTTCATCAATCAAAAACTTGGATATTCAAAGTATTTCTCACTATCGGCGCTACCGTTTTGATAAGAGCTCTTAAATCTTTTTTATGTTAAAAATTGATGTGTTAATTCATTAGCTGGCAAAATTTTACAGACAGCAACAAGGCTTCATCTTTTACTTGTGAAATTCAAATTTGTGAGTATTTTCATTTTTCTTCCTCAATCCAAAAAAATTTACAATTTAACATTAAGATTTTATTAGAAACATATAAAGTGACAGTTTAAAAATAACTCCAGTCTAATTTTTACTTAAACTGGGTAATTATACCCAAAATTTGTTCTTGGCTGTTTTTCTTTGGTGTTTAAAACTAATATAGCAAGGTATATATTAAAGATTTAACCACAATCATCCAAATTCGCAGTTTTGTGCTTAAATTAGATTCGATTTGACTCTTTGGAGGCAAAATTCCGAAACCGTTTTCCTTTAGTAAATTAAGCCTAGCCCCTCGGAATAACTTGCAAGGACTTGGAAAGGAAACTTGACCAAAAAACAAGTACTTCTTACTGATCGTGGTCGAGGTACAATCTGTAAATTATGAACCAAGTGCGAGCCCCTAAAGCGAGCGGGTCCTAAATGGAAACAGGAGAAAAATGAGCAAAGATCTATAACTTACACAACACACTTAAAAACGAGGAAACAAGACAGTTTCTCTTTTCTCCGTGTCTGTGGAGTTTGCTTTAGAAAATGACGGAATAAAACGATTTCTAACAAGACGAAAAGAAGTCTACACGAAAACGCGCTAAATCGATTTCATCGTTAAGTCCTTCACAATTAAGTTTTAATCAACTCATGATCTTAAGAGTACAAAACATTCAATATTTCAATTTGTCACTAGTTCCCAGCGATTGGCGATAGATAGCGAGAGACTTAAGCGACTGAAAAAAGTAGCCTTGAACTGGGGCGGCCCGCATAGCGTAGCGCGGCACGCATAGCGTAGCGCGGCACGCATAGCGTAGCGCGGCACGCATAGCGTAGCGCGGCACGCAAAATTGATCAATCACAACGCACGCATCAACTGAGAAATAATGATTACAGCCAAGCTCAATGTTTAATTGGTTCAATTATCTCCCACTACGTCTTTGGCATACATTTCCAAATTAATTTGACATGGATTAAAAGCAATTTACAAAGGTAATACTGGACTCCTTTGATTCTGATTTACTTCGCTTTACCATTGTTCTAGAAAACTCGCACCACTCTCCTAACTAGTCACGTTCAGAACTTAGATCAACCACTAAATGGTGAGTTGGATTATCCCGGGCTTCAAGCAAAATGTTCGCGTTTATTTTAAGTTTTCACTGGCTTCTTCTGATTTTTTTTTTTTTTTGTTCTGATTTGCCTTCGTGATTATCTTGGATTTAAGTTTATGACATGCACCCAAAAAGCAAAACAAAACATTAACTACGATGAAAACGTTGCACCAAGACCTTGTTGAAAATACATAGAGAACACACCCGTGTCATAATTTAGCAATCATTGTCAGCATGTTTGTATGAAATACCATTTCTTCACAACCTTTAGTTTTCAAAAAACAACAAATTTTCTTTAACTCATACAATAAAACTCGTTTGTTATAAAATAGATTAGTGATAGAATGTGTAGGTAATCTAAACAAGACAAGAGCGTTAAAGATTATTTATGTGTCCTTATTAAATTAGGAGAATATCACAGACATGTCCGTGGTCGAAATCAATGAGTCCCAAGCCATAGATGGTTGGGGAAGTCCTTATTATGTTGAACCTACTTCATATTCCATGGTTACCAATGAAATTCCAATGGAGGGCCAAGGAGGAAGTTGGAGCATGGAAGTCGTAGGAACAATTCCAACGGACCAAAATAACAATGCGGAAATCGAGTCTCTTAATCAACGAATTCTGGTGCTGGAAGGGGAAAAGAAAAGTTTCAATAATATGTATCAAAAAACGGTCACGGATTACGAACTATCGAAAACAAAAATGATGCAAGAATACGAGACAAAGATCGGGCAACTCAAAATCGAGCGTGATAACTGGCAAAAAAAGTACAACGAGTCTCAAAGAGAAGTGCAAAGACTTAAGCAAAAAATGTCCGCCATGGAAATAGAAAATCTTCGTATGATTGAAGACTTGAAGAGGGAGCTTTCAAACAAATGCAAGGTGGAGAAGGCTGAAATGGAAACCAGGTTTTCCACTGAAAAAGATGAAATGCAAGATAACTTTGAAGAACAAATACAGATGCTTCGAGCAGAAAACGAGGGACTGCTGCAGACGCATCAGAAGAGCACGAAAGAGTATGAGATGAAGATTGTACAAATTCAGCAGGAGTATGAGGTGAAACTAGGACAGCTTAAACTCGACATAGAAAAACTTGCGAAGAAGAATACCAACCTCAGCACACAAGTGACCACATGGCGCGAAAAATGTTCATCTCTTGAGAAACAATACGAAGAAATGTTAGCAAACCTGAGGATCGAGTTGACAGAAAAATGCCAAGTTGAAAAGGGTGAGATGGAAGCTGCCTTCACTAAAGAGAAAGAATCCATGATGGAAATTCACCAAAAAGCCCTGGATGAATACGAAGCGAAAATAACTTCAATCTCTGAACAATACGAGGAACAGTTAGCGCAGCTCAAAGCGCAGAAGCAAAAATTTGAAACAAGCTACAATGGTTCTTTGGAGGAAATTAGAGAGCTGAAGAAAAAATTGAACGAGTTAGAGGAAAGCTACGAGCTACAGATGAAGGAGCTCCAAGATAAGCTAAAGATGGAATACCTACAGAAAGAAAATGCCATGGAAAGTGAATTTGATACAGACAAGCAAGACCTGATAAACAAGTACAAGAAACTTGTACAACATGGTGAGATGAAAATACAGGAAATTCGAAAAGAAAACAAAGTGATTGTTTCGAAGCTGGAGGTAGAGAAAATACAGCTAATAGAGAAACATGCCGCTGAAATTCAGACATGGCAGGAAAAGGTTAACTCCCTTGAACAGAAGTACAAAGACCAAATGAAAGCTATGGAGCAGGAGCTGCGTGAAAAGTATGAAAAGGAAAAGACTGAATTTGAAGACAACTTCTTGAAAGAGAAAGAAGAAGTGATTGAAAGCCATAAGACCACGATTCAGAGTTATGAAACAAAATTGACAAGCACTCAACAAGAATATGAAGTGAAGATCGCTCAAATGGAAAAAGAGATAGAAAGGCTCGAAGAGACCAACAAGAAGAACATGGAAAAAATGGAGCAAGAAATTTTACTTTTGAAACAGGGTCACGAGAAACAGCTTAAAGAGGTCAAAGATGAGATGACAGAAAAATGCAATAAGGAAAAAAGTGAAATGGAGGAGAAATTTTTCAAAGAGAAAAACAGTTTGGAAGAGTCCCACAAGACTGTAGTAACAGAGTATGAAGAAAAGATAACTAGTCTCCAAGAAGAATTTGATGCAAAAAGCGATGAGATGGAAAATGAACTGAGGAGCCTAAAGGAGTCACATCAAAAAGTTCTTGAGGCACTAAGACAAGAAATATCTGAGTTGGAGAGGAAGCATAAATTAAATACCAAGGAGCTTAAGGAGGAAATGACGGCTAAGTTCGAAAAGGAAAAGGAAGAATTAGAGTCAAGATTTTTAAAGCAGATAGAGGAGCTAAAGGTGTCCAATGCAAACACAGTTAAATCGTATGAAGAACAAATAACTGGAATCAAAGAAAAGTACGAGAAGAAATTGACAGATTTAGAGGCTGCCATGAATAGTCTCGAACAGAAGTATAAAGAAAAGATTCAAGGGCTGAGAGAGGAATTGTCAAGTAGCGTGGAAAAGTATGAACAGCTTGTTAAAGAAACGAAGAAAGAACTTCGACAAAAATATGAGAAGGAAAAAGACGAGATGGATAAGGAATATGCTGATGAGAAATCCAAGCTAACAGAAAGTCACGAACAAACTGTGGCTGATTACGAAAAGAAGATAGCCGATATGCAAGAGGAGATGGCTTTAAAGTTAGAAAAACTAAAAGAGGAAAAAGTGTCCTTGAACGAAGCTCACAGCCAAAAGGAAGATGAATTGACTAAAAAATGTGCGACAATAGAAGAGACTTACAAATTAAAAATCAAAGAAATTAAAACTTCTCTAAAAGAGAAATGTGAAACGGAGAAGAGCGAGCTTGAGGCAAACTTTGACCAAGAAAAGCAACAGCTCATCGAGAGACAGAGTGAGATTGTTAAAAAGTACGAGGTTAAGATAACAGATCTGCTGCAAGATTTTGAGAAAAGAAATTCTCGTTTTACAGCCGAAAAAGAGAAACTCGAATCGCAGAAAAAGAAACTACAGACACAGCTGGACAAACTCCGCAAAGAAATGTTAAAATTAAGAGAGCAGTACGAAACGACTCTGAAAACTACAAAGGAGGAAATGGCTGACAAGATGAAAAGAGAGAATGCAGAATTGGGAAAGCAATTAAAAAAGGAAATGGACATTTTGAAGACACAACATGCTAAGAAGTTACAGCAAACAAAAACCGAGAAAGAGTCTATAATATCTAAATTAGAGCAAACAGTAAGAGATCTGGAGACCAAAATAAAGGACTTGCAAAACCAGTATGATCAGAAGACAGCTGAGCAAACGAGAGAAAACGACAGATTAGCAGAGAAGTGCCAGAATCTAGACAGAAAGATTACAGAGGAGAACACCAGGCATAGAACAGAGACAGCCGAACTAAAAGAAGAAATAAAGAAACGTGAGAAGTGGATGGAAGAAAGCAAGAACAGAAGTGAAGAAGAGGTAGATAAAATGAAGGAAATTATTGCGCAAATGAAGGGGGACCTGGATCTTAAAAGCGTTCATGTGGCAACAATGGAGAAGGAGCTAGATCGAGTTCAAAACAATCTTAGGGAAAGTCAAGATGAGTTTACCTTACAGACAGCTTCATTTAAAAAAAAAATTAGCGGGTTAGAAAGTGAAAAGAGGGGTTTGTTGAGCCGTATACAAAGTCTTGAAGTTTCAAAGAGAGACACAATAGCTAATTATGATGAAAGAATCGTTAGAGAACGGAAAGAAATTGAATTGAGATACATGTCACAGGTATCAAAGCTACAGGATTCACTCACCAAAGAGACCCAGGAGAAAGACAAGCTTAACCAAGAAATCCAGGAGCTTCTGAGGGAAGTGACAAACTGGAAGACAAAATACAGCAATGCAGAGGAAGAATACAACAACAACATGGAAGATTTGAAGAGCAGTCATGAAAAGGACATTCATGACCACAAAAGCGGATATGAAGATGACTTAGCCCATGTGAATAAGCAATTGGAGGGAAAGGATTTAGCCGTTGCGACGCTGGAAAAAGGAAAGCAAGAGCTTACTATGGTGGTAAACGAGCTAACTATCACAGTAGCAAGACTTGAGGAGGAAGCTTCCAGGCAAAACCTTGAATGGGAGAAAGATACCCTCGCAATGAAAAACAAAATTGAGATGCTTGAAGATGAAAACAGAAAATTAAACAATGAATCGGAACGATTACGCTTGAAATTAGAAGATGCTGAAAGACTTCTCAGCGAAACTGAAGAGCAAAATGAAGCAACCATAAAAGACCTTAATACGAAGATTGAAGAATACGAGACAAAGATAAAAGCGTCTTTGGAGGTTGAGACAGCAAATCGTGAGATGCTTAACGAACTATCTCGCCTACGATCTCAACTTGAGAGTAAGACAGCCAAGGAAAGCAAACTGAACCAGGAGAATGGCGCCTTAATATTAAAAATAACAGAGTTGGAGTACCTTAATAGAAGAATTACCGAAGATCTAGCAACAATGGCTAAAAAATGTTCAGATTCAGAGGAAGAATATAAAGTGGAGTTTGAGCAGTTGAAAGAAAGGCACGAAATGGAGAGAGAAAAATACATCAGTGAAAAAGATAGGGCAACAGTTGAAGTGCACAGATTACAAAAGATCATGAGTGAGCTAGAGAGTACAATCAGACGCTTAAAGGACTCGGCCGAGTCAGCTAATGAGGAGAAAAAGAGAAACGAAGATCGTTTTAGCATTGAATTTCACGGTTTACTAGAAAAATACGAAAGTGAAAGGAAGAGGGCCGAGACGTTGAGGGAGGAACTCCAGCAGAAGACACACACTTTTGAGGAAAAGAACAGAGAGTCCAAACGAAAAATGGAAGAAGCCAGCTATAGACATCGAGATGAAAAAGAAAAACTCTTAAAAGAAAAGAAAACTTTAGAGGAGAGTTATGAGAAGCAGCTAAAGGATCTGAAAGAAGAAACAACCAGCGAGAGGGAGATTTGTGAAAGGAAACTAAGTCAACTTGAGCAAACATACAAGCACGAGATCAATACGGTTCGTTATGAACGCGAGCAGTACTTTAGAGAAGTAAGCAGTAAGGAAATAGAGAAGACCCGTAAGGAACTGGAAAAGGAGAAGAATGACCTGCAGCACGAATTCCTAGCAGAAAAGAAACAACTAATTGAAGACTATAATAAGAGGATTCAAGACGAGAACAGGAGGTTTACTCAGGGCGAAGAGAAGTATAAATCTGAAGTAGAAACGCTCACAAGGGCCAAGTTGGAGATGGAGAGGAAGATATACGATCTGGAGAGGACGATTGAAAGGACCAAAGAACAACTGACGTACCGCTTCACCGAAGAACGTCGTAAGATAGAGTACAAGCTAGAAATGGAGTTGAGGGAAGCCAGGGAAAAACACAGAATAGAACTCATAGAACGTTCGCAAACCGATATGCTGGATATGGAAGCCAAATTTAAAACTGAGAGGGAAGAATTTGAAGAGAAAATCCGTCTTGACTACCAAGCTAAAATAACAAAAGAAGTATCAACTCGGGAAAAGCAACAGCAGGATTCTTTCCAGAAACTAGAGGCTGAATTTCGTGCAGAGAAGGAACGATTGCTGGAGGCGGAAAGAAAATTGAGGATGCAAAACGAACTGTTGTTAAGGGAAAAGGAATCCTGGCTTCAGCAAAGTCAGAGGGACAAAGATGAAATGTCCGGAAAATTGGAACATGAAAAAGAATTGCTAAATGTTACCTTGGAGGCTATGTCTAGGGAGCTTTCCAAGATGAGAGAGGAAAAGAATTGTCTTTCCGAATCCTTCAAGAAAGAAAAACGAGAGCTAGAGAAGAAGTATGAAACAGAAATGACAGAGTGGAGAAACAAGGTCGATAAGGGAAAGCAAGAAATGGTGACCCGACTCCGAGAAGAGAACAGACAGGCAGTTCAAGCTAACCAAAGATCGGCAGACGCAACTATAGCTGTGCTCAAAGAAAAATTAGCCAAAGCAGAAAGGAAGATCGTGGAAGCAGAGGAAAGCTTTAAGAAGGAGAAGAGTAAGTTGGAACATCAATTTGAGCACGAGAAAATGGAAATAGAGCAACGAACTCAAAGGATCACACAGGAATTGAAGGTCTTCCTGGAACAAGAGTTTTACAAAAGATCACAAGACGAAAGGAAGATTTATGAGAACACCTTGTCAAACCTACGAAGCGAAATACTAGAACTTCAGGAAGGCAAGAGTAGACTAGAACGAGCTTTACTGGAACAGCAGATGATCGCGCATAGCCTCGGGAGAGACGTCAGTTCACTGAGGAGTGAGACGCAGCTGTCAAGTCCTAGACAACGGGAACTAAGTCTCCTAGAGCGAGAACTTCAAGAGTTACGACACAAAAACGAAAAGTTGAAAATTGCAACGAAAGAAGCTCAGTTTTATAACAATGAGCTTGTACAGTGGGAGAGTGGAAAGAATTGTCCAGTTTTGAAAACTGCTCAAGAAATGACGACCACGGCCTCGTCAGCCTTACAGTTTCCCATGGTTTACAGTGGAGAACGAAGGGTAAGAAAACGCAAATTGTTGCACTGTCATGTTATAAAGCCATATGAAGCAGCCTATTTTTAGGAAACTATTAACAAAAAGTGCAGAATTGTGCTTTTTTAACACTGGTAATTGTAGGCAGAAGGAGCTAAAACTGAGCATTGATGAGTGAAAGTGACTCGAATAGAAGCTGAGTTCCTCTAGCTAGAGTTCAAAGGAAACAAAACATAAGATAGGTAACTTGATTTGTAAGAGAGGAAGTTTTAAAGCCGAAGGAACCAGTTAAAAATATAGGTTCCCAGTTACACTATGCAATTAACGTGCTTACATGCGTTTTGAATTAATCGATGTCATTATTTTCCTGAAGTCATCGAAGGTCTCTAACGAAGGCACAGCCCGAATCCTTGAGCAAAGAGGCCAAACGTTTCAATCAAACAACGGTCGTCTCGAAAAAGAATTGGAGAAACTGGGAGAAAAGCTAGGGGATTTAGAGGAAAGAAAAGCTGATCTCATGCCAGAGGTGAGGTTGAAATAACTGAACAAATATTAATGAAAGCGCATGGCCGCTTATCTCCAATTGTAACTGTTGGCTGTAAAGAAGAACTGTTTATCTTTGGTGTCTAAGACCCCTAAAATCCTTTTCTTGATTATTTGTCTACGTTAAAACAGGGTCACTGAGAATAGGTGTGTGTGCGTGATAAGAGGTTCTTAATCATCAGCAATCTTAACTTTAAGAAATTTTTAACAGGTTGAAGATGTCACAGCTAATTCAGGAGAAAATTCCGAAGTAACAAATACAGCGCGATTTTACAGTGGCAGCACTACCTACATGGCCAGCAATTCTACGCCTGGACCTAATTACTATTAGATAAGAAGAGTAGAGCACATGTTAGGTCAAAAATAGGTTTAGAAGGTCGCGTCGAATTGTACGGTTTTTTCTTTCAGACGATTTTGTCTTTTGGAGGGGGAAATCTTTTAACCTTATCAGTTTTAGTCTCACAATAGATCAGACTTCGTAGATGTTTCAAGGAAACATACACTATCTATTATTGCTTTATATGCAGTAGGTATCAATTTGAAGCAAATTACCGAGTGAAACGTCAATTAGAGAGTTAATAGAAATCCTCGATTTTAATTTGGAGGGTTTCGCTCTTTAAAGATTTAAACACTTGTTCTAAAGCAAGACTTTTCCACACAGGAAATTAACTTGGCATCGTCGAGGTGCGATAAATACTGTGTATGGGTTTAAGAGCCGAACAAAATGCGTCAGTTAGAGCTTTAAAACTGAGAAGACTAAGGTAACGAAATTTTACTGAGTTGTTACAATTGTCAATTATTCTAAGAATTGGAAATTTTCCATTTTGTTTCATCGCGATTTTAATATTTGCGATATCTATCATTTTAGATTAACGAGAGTTAAGCCACGATAGGTTTTGGGTATTGTTTATTGTATTTTCTTCCAGTGCACTTGTCTTTTTTGAGAATTGGCTTTGATGTACTTGAAGCTGTTTATAAAATGTACTGGTAGTTTACTGGGGGTGGATGGATAATAATGGTAATTGGTATAAAAAGCTTTCGGGACTACGCACGATACTTCTCCTTTCAACTCTGTAGTCTTTAATAAATCATAATCAATTGATGAGTAACCTAACTTTTATTTCGCTAGAAATATTTTCATTAACACAGCTCTTTAGGTGGCTGAATGTTACCGGTCTATAAAGTTTACCAGTAATTTGAGGGTGTAAGAAAATTAGTGGAAACTGGTGTGTAAGCCATAAAATACTATTGACTCTAGGATGTTTTTCTTTCGGTATTTGGTGTTCTAAAATTAATCATATCGACTTTATTTCGCTAGAAACACTTTCATTTATATAGCTCTTTAAGTAGCTCAACAGTATCGTTTTCTTTTCTGGGAGAAATAGAAATGGTCAACTAATTTCTGTGAAATACGTAAGTTACGAAAAAAAACAAGTCCGCTACATTATGTACTTTTTCGATCGAGGACATTTCACTATCAAAAGTGAAGGGATTTTTTTCTTTGTCGGGGGCTATTGATTAATTTTACGTAATAAAAGCACTTTCTTTGTGTCACTGCCTTCTTTCTGTTTGAAGTAAGGGGTTTAGTCTATGCGTGACACCTGTTTTTAATCTCTTAGTGATACAAATACCAAAGATATATAAAAAAGATGTTTCTTTGCATCTATCCATCCTGTTACCGCTCAACGATCGAATCCCTTTTTGTTGCAAGTAGATGAAAGGTCGCCTGAAAAATTTCTACAAGAAAGTTCGAATTGTTGCTGATTGTCGTTGGTGCTGAAAGTACGCGTGTATTGATGAAGCCAACATTTGACTTTTTAGTGTCAGAGACGTTCATCTGAGAAGGATTATCTCCACTAAGTAGGTATCGTGTAGTTTATTCTTATCATTTCAGCGATGACGGTAGTTCCCCGTTATCATTCCAAAGAAGTGTAAAAAAGGAAATTTTTAAATTCAATCTACGTCTGCGCCTCTTCACACTGGGCTAAATTGTAATCAGCGTTTATTTCTGTCTTCAATGTGTTGATCGGTAATCATCAGGTCCCTTTATGTAAATGTGTAACACAGTTTCCCTTCCATGGAAAGCGGATGAGATTTATCCGTAAGGTGCCACTTCCGGTTGCTCATCAGCGTGGCGTTTATGTCATTTGATCCTTTAGACCGAAGAGCTTATTTTATATCTGCACAAATTACCATACATTTCTAGGTTGGCTGGTCCTGAGACTTTTTAGGTTATATCCAGAAGTTATCTCCTAATTGACAACTTTCCTTATTTTCCTGATCTCTCTACTCAAGAATGTTTTAAAACTGCCATGTGAATTTATAAACTGATTACTTCCAGTGAGGATGGCGTGACTAATCGTCACGCTGAGAATGGTATGACAGACGTGTCATACTGATAACTGATAGTTTTTGACCGGATTCGGCCCACTGCGTCATCGCCAAAGCTAAAGGAAGTCTGAAATCCTCACGTTTCTGAAAAATCTGATTGCAGAAAGTGGGTTTGTTCTTTACTCTACGCGTCAACGACTCGGATCATTCAGTAGCAGCGGTGAGTCTGTCTATTAGGCTTAGTTACGAGCTTGTTTCGATAAGTTTTTGACAAGGACAATTGAAATCCATTCTGAGACCGCCTAAGGTGCTTTCACAACAATTAACAAACATGCTTGTACGTCAATTCTGTATCTTACATGTACTAGAAATCGTGAATACCATAACATGATTTAAGCTGTGCCAGTTCCCTTTAAGCATATAAGAACAACGTGTCAGCATGTGACACATTGCTGCTTTTAAGATACAAGTAAGTCCTTACCCTAGCTAGTGATGTGACCCATTAGGATATCATCGATTGGCGAAGGACTCGGGCAGCCAGAGGCACAGTCCAGTGGATCCCAAACAACTCTTTCAAATACTTCCTTGTTTCTCTCACTGATTTACCCCGGACGTTGATTTTCGACTAGCCGCCCGTCAACGGCCGTAGGCAAATGATGACACGAGCAATGACTGACAGATGCTAAAAGAAGCAAGCGATAATAATTAGATTTGAAGTAGCCGGCGGAAAACAAGCGGGACACGGGGGGGCACGAACACCTATTTTTCGGGTATCGATGAGCTTTGGACGTGTATCACTGAGTCATTTGAAAGAGCTGCGCGTAGCCTAGGGCTGAACCTGTCAGATTCACTGTAGAGGTTATATTTGTTCCAAAGCTGGGCATCTTGTTCGGTGCGGAAAACTTCGGATGGGGGATACTAGAATGGGGATGTGTCGCTGGATGGGGTCGCCTTGCACGACTGGATTGAGTAGGGTTTCCTTTTCAACAGAGTGGCAAGAATAAGGTGGCGCGTTTTCAGGTTTTTTTTTGGGGGGTGGGGAATTTTTATTTATTTATTTATTTAATGATTTGTACCAAGCATTGGAGCAGAAACAATAGGACATGGGTCCCCTACGAGGTTTAAGCTCCAACAAACCCACCCATCCCATCCCAGGGGAGGACATCCATCACACAGTAATCTCGTGCGTGGGAAATTAACGTCTCTTACCCCTAACCCTGCAGGAGACGGGACCTCCATTTATTCGTCCCTATCCGAGAAGACTAGAATATCTAACCATTTATTGATGTTATAGAAAGGTATTATGGTAAGTAAGGATTTCAAAATAGGAAGATGCGGGGTTAAAAGTTTATTAGCGTATTTTGCGGTGTTGTTGTGATAACAATCGGCTCGCATTACATTCGTTCTTGATTAAGTTGGGATCGCGAAAATTACGCACGCCCATAACTGACCAATATGGGGGTAGTGGGCCGTGTGTAGGGGTAGTCAATATGGGATAGTGGTTGTGAGAGGCCAGCGGCACATACCCAGAAAAAAAATTACCAAAGTGTTTTCCTCTCCTTCCCCCTCCTCCCCTTCCTCCCCCCTCCTCCCCCGCCGGGTATGGATCCCTTATTTATGGTTCGCTTGCTATGACTTACGATAAAGAGATGGAGCTTGGTAAGTAAGCGGTGCGCTTTCACATGATTACTCAAACAAGGTATTCTAATAACTACAGACCTTCTCAATCTTTTTCGGCCTGTATTTTGATAATCCATAGCTAGTGTGAATACGTTATCATGGTTCTTCTTTCAGATAATACAGAAGATGATATTTACTACGTCCGTGTCTGTTATCGGCATAATCTTCTTTTCAGGATGCTTTGCAAACAACGTTATTGCAGGTAAGTGGCGATTGTTTTGTTTTCATTAGAGCCCCTTGCAACAACAACAACAAAAAAAAGAAATAAAGGATTCATCTGTAAAGGGCATGGGATACTGAGGTAGCAGAAAGGGTTCCTGCTCTGATGACTCCTGTCATATTGTTGACTGGTTTCAGATGTACCCACACACAGCAATAATATTCATATCTTGACGCAAATACAACTCGTATCAAGACAAAACTAACGTTATACAAAGTGAAAATATTTGTTAAACGCCATGCCACCCATGTCATGTGTCAGAAATGACTACTTTGGTAGGTTCGATTTTCGAGCAACTTAAGCAACAGCTGCTTCCAAAGACGAACTAGGTCAATAAAAGAAACATATAAGCTCTCTATCAAATAATTTTAATTTGCATTACTTTACCGGCCTCTGTGCTTGAGAATTCGACCACAAATCAACTGCCGCAGCTAAAGTAACATGCTTTACTAAGCAAACCTGCCGAATCATAGTAACTCAAACGTCGTTGTTCTGTCGCACGTTACTATTTTCTTGGGTCCAGCGCATGAATGACTCCCCACCCCTCCCTTGACTGATAAATTGTTTCTTCCAAGGAACGCCCTGTGCATCCAATGCCTCTAATATTTGTTATCACGGCTCACAATGTGTGGAAGAAAACATTACTAGTACAGGATTCAAATGCCTTTGTGTTCCTGGCTATACTGGTCAACGCTGCGAAGTGGACATCGACGAGTGTGATTCCAAACCATGTCAGAATGGGGGAAGATGCGAAGACGGTGTCAAAAAATTCACGTGTACTTGTGCACGAGGTTTCACCGGAGCGACATGCGAGAGGAGAAGTAAGGAGTGCACTGACCCTCCAGGTAAAGTATGTTTCATGTCGTTTTTGATTCGACAGCCGATCTCAAAATATACTCTCTACTCGTTTGACAATTTCAACAATGTTGATTTTGCCAGTTCGTAGGATGTATGAAGTATGTGGTCTAGCTAACCTATGAATTCTCTCAGGACTCTCAATATTGATGTAACATCCATCCATGCAATACGTGAACTTACACATACAACCATTCAAATGAATGCTGCATTTGCATAACTCAGTTCCAGGTCCCTAAGGAGGGCAAGTTGTTCGTGGGTCATCGACCTTTGTTGATGTAAAGCGAGATGCAGAGGCGCGAAAGGCTTCGAAATTTTTATCGTAGGAAATATCGAGTCTAAAGATGGAAACCGGCCTTTTTCCTGACTTATCTCTTTGTTCGAAGGTGGACTTTTAAGAATTAACCACTCAACTCATTTTATCTCCTCCAGGTATATCGAATGGGAGGGTTAGATCGTCAAAGACAATTGCCGTGTACGTTTGTAATTCTGGGTATAAGACCATTGGGATTCGCGTGATCAGATGTAGAAATAATAAGTGGACTGGAAGTCCACCCACATGTCAGCGAGGTGAGACATAAGAAATGTGTTTCGTGCTTTTAATGAATGAGATTTTTGCCATCAAATGAATAGAGAAAAAACCCGGGAATATACACTGTTTTCCTTTAAAACAATTAAGATATTGAAGGAGTAAGATCTTCTTTCATAATCTCCTCACGCCTAATGATCGAACAAATAGTACAATAAACCTTTTTTAACGAGCCTTCTACACACCAAGATAACCCCTTAGTTTTAAAGATCGTTAGCAACTGAGAAACGAACATTTAGCGAAGAAAAAAATATTCTGCCGTAAAGTTGTTTTAGATATTTAAGTGCTCTTATAGTTTAACTTATTCATTGAGAACATTGGGAAGGCATCTCAAAATATGATAACTTACATAATTTTTTCGTTCTCTTACTACAGGCTCAAAACCTCAGTCATGTACAACACCCAGAAGAATCCGACATGGAGATTTTAAGCCACATGAAGACGATTACCTAGTCGGTACCACTGTCACTTATTTCTGTAGAGACAATTACCGGCTCAGAGGAAGTGCTTCAGTGACTTGTACCAACAACAGAAACTGGTCACCCAAACAACTTCCTAGATGTATAAAAAGTAACTAGATCATTTGATGTTTATTGCCGTATCAAAAATTGGCTATGTGTAACATCGATTATAGGAGTAGTGGTGGTCTGAGGGATAGCGGGCCGAAGGACCAGATTGAAGGCGACATTAGGGGGATGATGATGTCATATTCACTTCATCAAAGAGTGAGACACAGTGCCTTTACGGCTAGCACGTCGTACCTCAGACAAGGGGTTTGGGTTCTAATCTGATCGAAACATTGGGTCATTCCCTTAAGTTGTCGTGTCTCTCTCCACACAAGATTATTAATAAGTACCTGTAAATTTTGAACGTGACGCCACTACCCGTAAATTTGAGCAGAGTCTAACAAGAAAGAGGTCCAATATAATCCACTGAAATCCCTCATAACCTGTTTTAAGTGACTGCTCGTCTGGACTTGTTAAAAGAAATATCCAATGTTTCTTGCATGGACATCCCATGAAACTTTTATCCTTTCCCCGCCTTAACACTCAGGAGACAAATAAGGGAATGCGAATTCATTCCTTGGTGATCAAATACTTTGCGCCAAAAAATAAACTGAGAGGGATTGCCTCAGAATTAACCCGATATGGCGAGTAAGTCTGTTGGGTACAGTTGTTGATTATAAATGCGACATTCATTAAACTGAAATGACCGTCTTGCTTTCTTATTTAGGAGCAAAGTGTAAGGATCCAGGCTCTCCCGAACACGGTCGCCGAGACGGAAGTTTGTTTCTACTGGGAACTCAGGTTCGTTTTTCCTGTGATGACGGGTATGAGCTTGTTGGTCTTAATTCACTTCAATGTGTTCCGTTGTGCAGCTCATGCAGGACAGTACGATGGAATGGAACAACTCCAACGTGCGAAAAAAATGGTGAGTGTCTTCTTAGAAAGAAGTCAAAATACTCGTTAATTGAGCAGTTGTTTGCGCAATAGCGCAAGAAGAAGTATCTCAACTCATTTTATTCACCGGTCAATCGTGCATTGGATCCGAGCATATAAGAAGCTGAAGCTAAGATAAAATCGCACGTTATTATTGAAGAAACATAGTCCTCGTTTTCACACTTAAAACTTAGAGGTACAGCCAAAGGAAGGTTTATCAAGAGGTGTTTCTTAAACTCATACACTCAATCACTGATCCCTTCATCCATGCAGATACGAGAGAAAACCATTGACAGCTGAATAGTTATATTTGATTAGTTTCGAAAAGAATAGCAAATCGTGTCCTTAACGATGGATCCGTTGTTTACAGATCCGTTGAGAGGTTTGAAAAGGGTCGCAGATAGACTCCGTGAACACTTCATCGACAAACTGAGCTGGATGACAACCGACAGTTTGGCAAGAGCAGGGTTGTCCTCGGGAGCCGGAGGCCTCGATCTGGTGTTCATATTCGATAGCTCGGCAAGCGTCGGTAGTGCGAACTTTAAAAAAGGAGTTGAATTCGCCAAAACGATCATTGAAGAGTTTGGTATATCGGCATCTCAAATGGGAACAAGAGTTGCTGTTGTTACATTTAGCTCGACAGCTAAAGTAATTTTTAATCTGAAAACGAATGCAATGGCTAACAAAACAGAGGCTATAAGGACTCTCGGTAGGTTAAACTGTACTGATATTGAGAAACTTAAACGTAAAACACATAATTTCGTCGATGAATGTTGATAAATATACATGAATGCCGTTTTGGTTACTTTCGTTTGTCTCCTCTCGGAGACTATGATCATAAGTCCCCTCTGTTAAAATAGTTTTACTCTAAAACTGAACGAATGGTTGAGATGACAGACTAAAGACAACCTGGTTGTTTCGCCACGACGAGCTTTAATCACATATCATCCCGCTGCCATGATGCCACACCCCACTTGTTGAACCAGGAAATCGCACCATTAGTCACAACTGGCCTGTGAAACCTTCTTTGCCACGCATCTAACTCGTCAGTTCTCCCAACGGAATGACTTAAATCAGCTCGATCTAGCCGTATTACGGAGAGTGTGGCCGATCAACATTATCCACTTATTCGTAGAATGCGTGCAAAATGAGAAGAGAAGTACTGCCGGCGATGGTACAAACTCATTTCTTATTCAATTGGAAACGTATCTACGACGCACGCTGCACTAATGAAAAGATAACTTTTACAAATCATTTCCAAGGGAATATACCATTTCTCCTTGTTCGCCGTGGTTTGATGAATGACAATCAATCTTGTTCTCTTATTATCTCTTTACTTTCTTTCTTCCTTAGAGAACTTAGACTTCATCGCCGGTGGTACTGCTACACGCCTTGCGTTGAATAAGACCATTGAGGAAATCGTTCCCGAAGCCCGAAAAGACAGCAAGCGGGCTTTGTTCCTCATAACTGATGGCAGGTCCAATATAGGTGGTGATCCCAGCGCAGATGCTGTGATACTACGTGACTTCCAGAAGTTTGAAATCTACGCTATTGGCGTAACAGACAGCGTGGATGAAAAAGAACTGCGCAGCATTGCTTCTGAACCCTTCAGAACGCATGTCTACCTTCTCAAGGACTTTGATGACTTTGCCAAGCTTAAACAGCTGATCAGTGCCAAAGGGAATGGTAAGTACATTTTCTTATTTCTCATTATTCCATCGAATAACTACATGTACTTTGTTCAGTTCAAAAGAGCCTTAGCAGGACCTTCTGCTGGGTTCTACATCAGTTTCTTACCTGTATTTTGGAGCACTTTAGGGTCCCTTTGAGCTATACCCTTCGGCAAGTTTGTTTTTGCGTCTAAGATGTATTTTGTACGAATAACATCTGAGACAAATTTTTCCGTCATGGGAGACCTAGTATTTCCACGAGTTGTTTGCCAATCGACCTGACGACCTGATAGCTCATCGGAAATTCTGTACCTCGCTCACTTGTCGGTAACTTGGATTTCTTTGTGGCCTTTTGGTGTTGCGAACGGTACGGTCTCTAGGTGAAAAATACCAAAAGATTATAGATTCAAACGAATGCTCACCCTACAACATAATGGCCAACTATCACGAGTTTTAAAAACACCGAGTAACATCCTAAAACTGGCCCAAGCTATGTCGTGGATTAAAAAGAATTTTAAACAACTTTCTTTCTCTTGGTTGTCCCTTATTTTACTTTAGAATATGTTTGAAAAAATACACTTAATAAGATATCCCTAATTTGATTGGCATAAACTTTATTGGGTTTTCTTTCATCTTTTGTGTGTGAGCAGATTACAGTGAATGTGGCATTGCAGGAGATACTCAGCTGAGAAATGACGATGATGAAAACTTCCGCTTTGTCGGTGGAAGGGAGGCCAAGCCAGGTGCCTGGCCTTGGCAAGCAGCTATCTACGTGAAGGGTAATTTCCGGTGTGGTGGTGCACTTATCAAAGGGAACTGGGTTCTAACTGTGGCGCACTGCTTTTTCTACGATGGGACTGTGAAACCGAAAGATGTTGTCGTAAGGATGGGTAAGTCAAATCTGGGCCATTATACAGAGTAATTTAAAAACACGCTTGATGTGGCCATGATTACAAAACGATGAAATGATAAGAAAAATGGTAACTTAAAGATGTTAGAGTACGTTGGTGTACTATGCTTGCATCTCTTCAAAAGTGTCTCTCCTCCGTGAGAACCTCGCTGCCATTTTGTAGACTACATTATTCTGAGCAGACTAAATAAGGCCGAAACAACTGGTAGGAAGCTGGTAGAAAAGCGTCACATTGACGACTTATTTTAGGTGCATGTTTTTTGGCTTCAGTTTGCCATTTTGACTCGATTGCACCCTTAATATGAGCCATTCAGCCTCACAAATGGCGAGGAAGAAGGATCTTTGGCTCAACTCACAACTAACCCTTTAATTCCCATGGCTGAACAAAACAGAATTTCTCCTCACAATATCAATACAATATCAAGCAGACAAGTAATGAGAATAAAGGAAAAAATGTCATCAGAGGGAATTCTCAGTTGATTCAATAGAAAATTCTGTCAATGGACATCATAGGGCATCATGTTCCCTTTTTTATCGTCCTATTTTATCATGTTTTATTATGTAAACAGAATAACTAACGACTTACGATTTTAACCCTTTAGGAGAACACAACCGATTCAAAGAAGAAGGTGCTGAGCAGAATATTAGAGCAAAGAAGCTTATCTTGCATCCCAATGCGACCCGGGGGAACTTACACGTAGGAGATGACTTAGCTTTGATTCGCCTTAAGCACCCAGTGAAATTCTCACCGTTGGTAAGAACTGTGTGTCTCCCGGAACCCACGGACGTGTTCTACGTCAGACCAAAAAAACCGTGCGTGGTGGCCGGTTGGGGATCTTCTCAAAAGGTTAGTACGAGTTACCCCTCTCCGAATGCTCTGTTAATGTGCACTCTAATGTTTTTCCTCTCCTTGTTACATTCAGCTTAAGTCGGAGTTTCGGCATCTTCAGTCAGCACTGACAAACCAATGATCTAGAAATGCTCGAGAAATTTGAGACAAAAAGAGAGCCTCGCAAACAGGGAACATATCCCTTGTTACTATACAAAAGAAACTTTTTCGCTTGCCCGGTATTAGAAGTCGTGACAGGACTTCACCTATCACTTTTTAGAACATCGTTTCAAAGGCGAAAATTCTATCCAAGAGAGTGTAGAAAGGTAAATTACGATGCAATTACTTCTATAAAATAATCATTATAGAGAGGCGCTGTGAAAACAGAATGTCTCACTGAAGAGCCCAACATGAATGTGGCAATGGTTTGGTGATGAAATCGTTGACTCGTAGCCTAGCGGACTGACCATTTTCCTGGAAAAAAATCATAACCTGTTAAACCAACCTTTCTTTGCAGGTTTCGCCGGATGATTTAGCAGGCCCACCGAATGAAGTCCTGCAACAAATTCAAATAAAATTCGTATCCCAGCGCGATTGCCGTGAAAATGCCACCAATGCTGTAGCAATAACAGAAAACGTTGTCTGTGCTGGTGATGCTTCAGGAAAGAAAGATGCATGCAAAGGGGACAGTGGTTCGCCTCTTGTGGTAAGCGAAAAAGGACCGTGACGGGAAATTATATATATAAATATATATTTTGCTTCTTCTTTTAGACCTTCTTACTGACAATTGAATGCACATTACGAGTTTTTTTTATCTACGTTTTTGCTGTATGACCGTTGCCTAATGTTTGGGTCAGACTGAGTGAGACTGAAATGACGAGGATCAAAATTACTCTGAGATAAGGGCCCAAACACATTGATGCCCAAGAACATAAACTCTTTTACTTATATCATCACTTAGGAGGGAATTGAGAAAATATAAACTGAACAAAACAACAATAACAGTTTGAAAAATTACGGGAGCGTGCAAACGGGCTAAAAGACAATTTTGCAACAATTGACAGCAATGTCGCAATCTGATTGGCCAATTTGCTTTTGTGGATGAGAGTACAGACAACGTTGCTCGCGTCAATGTGTCACGCAATGGTCATGCACTGAAAGAATTGTAGTATTTGACGTCGATATTGTGGCAGAAAACTGCTGCGCCTCATGAGTCCTCAACATTTCGATCACTGTGGTGACGAATATCGTTGTCGATAGGGGTTCAGACCACGCTAAACCACTGTGGTTTGTTAAATCTCTATTTTGGCAAGCAAAACGCACCCCGATGCACGGCAAAGTGATAACAATTGTCTACAAGAGGTAAATCTTTTTTCACTGATGTGTTCTCTTTGCCCCCAGTGATTTTCGGAGTCGCTTCATTAAAACTTTTTCCTTTTACAGCTCAGACGTTCCCTCGATGACAGCTGGGCGGTGATTGGTTTATCGAGCTGGGGAGATGGGTGTGCCACGAAAGGAAAATACGGTGTGTATACGCGACTGAAAAGTCATTTGCGCTGGATAAAACGGAAGACAAACAGAAAAAATGGGAATGGGAAGAAGAACAAAGATTAGAGAGAAGCGTTCTCAACGGAGAGTAGGAAAGGGGGGGGGGGAAAGATTCCCCTTTACGAACGTACATGGGTAAGACTTAGATATTTTAAGAACTAAGTACGCTGCAGTCTTTCTTTTAGAAAAGATTTCTCCTGAAGATCGGTCTTTATTTATCGCCCCCCGGGGGGAGTCACTTAGGGTTAGTATTCTAATGATCTTCCTCATTGGCGGTCAATTCTCTAAAGTCCTTCTTTAGACTCTGGTAACGACGATTAACCAACTCCCCCCTTCCGTTTTCCTTCGATGTGACCCCCCTAAAGTGTTTTACCCCCCCCTCCCCACGCCCAGGCGATAGATAACGACTGGTCCCTCAGATAGTTCTTAGTGCCTGATTTAGTTTCATGAACAGGAGTGGCTAACTCTTACGATAAACTCGTTAATACTAATATCCACCGGTAAAACACAGTTAACTACAGTAGTTTTTCTGAAACTGTCATTGTATAGTTTAGTTTGCAGATGAATAAAGAACATTGGAGTAATGGGAGGCTTATTTCCTGTGAAAAAACTGTCACTAGTGGTTGGTTTCTGCTATTGATATCGCATTCGTTTCGATCAGGGAAAAACTGAATGAGTCTCAACATCAATGTCGAGACTCCCGTTGAGTCCAATTTAGGTCTTATTTAATTTTAACCATTATTTTCGAGCTTTTTATTCAGTTTTGTAAAACCAAAAATAAGGGAGGTCACAACGGCTGTTAAAAACGTGGGTGAACACCAATAAAAACTGAAAGTAAAATAAGCAAACTCTCTAAATTGCGGAAAAACGCGTGTCACCAAGATTAGTTGAGAGGGTAGCGCTAGTTTTCTATACTGATCAACAGCAAAGACAGAGTTCTCCAGCATGAAATTTAAACCTCAGTAAAAACTCTCTCTTAATATAAGAAGTAGGTTTAAGGCCCATTGGCGCTTTTGAAAGTATTTTCAAGTGCAATGTTTGGTACACGTAGCTTGGGAAAAGGTAGAGTTTAATTAAAAGTAAATGAAAGTAAAAAATATTTTCCTATATAACAGTTATCATAACTTATAATCAAGAAGGTGTCCATTAAAAAGTTATCTATTGGATCATTTGTACTATATAGAGCCGGAACGCCTCTGCGCGAAACGCTTTTTACATTTATGACAAGAGAGTATAAAAATAAAAAGTCGCCTTGAAGTGTCTTACATGATATGGAAAGAAGGTGGAAACAACACAATACGAATGAGATAATCTTTATTGCTATAAAGTAGGGGTAACATTCCGTGGATAGTTGCTCCAACTGGATCTATCACTATGGTGGCAAGTAATTAACTTTATTTCCATTGTGATGCTGTTGTAATGGTCTCATAAACCCTTCGGCGGCTTTGCTTCAGTTGATTTTGAGCTGATCCATCCTTTACTCCTGATCAAAGGGAGAATCTGACCCTGGTGATTTCTCGCTTGTCCATTTCATTGACCAGTAGACTGAAGAACCACGAGATAATAGAATATGTTTCTACCTTCAAAGACGTTGGGAAGAAAAAACAACCAGACAAATCAAATGATGGATGTAAAGGGCAATGCTAAGGTTACCTTTATACATAAAACCCCTTTTGGGGGTGACCCTGAAACAACTTAAAAGCAGACATTGACATTTGCATGGTATATGAATGATTGGTGCTGTAAGTTTTTCTGTTTCAAAACATGGTCATGGAGGGTTTCAAGGGTTTAATTCAAAATCATGTTCTCACCTCAGAACTACCCTAAAGTTATAAATACATCCTATTGAAAGTGAAAGAACACCACACATTTTTTGTTGTGATTCCTTTTTCGAAAAATCACTCTTTCGGCGGTGAGCCATGTTTAAAACTTTTATATAGAGTATTTGAATTCTCTTGTCGTGAATCACATATCTCACCTCATAAGCTTCCAATACTACCGTAGTCGTAAGCTGGGCTTGCTGGACATTTTATCCAAGTCTCAAAACCTTTAGACCTTTGAAGACATTAAAAATCAAGTCAGTTTATGTAAAGTATCAGGTCATCATTTAGGGACCTGTCATTTTCCATCGCCTAAGGCAGGGAGGTGGGGGGGGAGGACTTTGAGAGGATCTCACGGTTTACAGGGGGGACGGAGGGGGATCAGTCGTCGCTAACAGAGTATAAAGAGGGGAATATGGAAAATTGACTGCCAATGGAAGGGGGGGAGGGGGGAATCATCAGAATACTACAGAGCCCCAGTGGGGAACAGGTACATGTTATTCTGACACAACCGAAGCTCTCCGCCCCTCCTCCCCCAGGCTATAAATATGGCCAGTTTCTTGCCATGTACATTTTCAAGGAAAAAATGTTCTTTTTAAATCATATTCTACAAAGCACACATTTTTTACTTGTGTTTATAAATTTAACAAACAGCGATAGAGGATCAAAACTCTCTCTATTATTGTTGGCATTTCACTGAGAAAAACTTGAGCTTTAGAGGCACTCTATGAATTTTCCGTTTTAAAACTCGCTGGCCATGAAACCGAAGAAAAACTTGTATTTCTTAGTTACCTGGGATATTTTTGCTGATTTTCCCATCACGAAAATGTTTAGATAAGAAGCCACCCAAACTTATAAAAGCGTTCGCTTAAAAACAAAGAACTTACCTTCCACTTGAATCATTAAATCTTTTACAAATCATTCTACATTCTTGAATATCCTGTCGTATATGCTCCAACAATGCCTCGTGTTGTTTGTTTAGCTTCTGGAAGAATGTCAATCGTTTTTTTATCCGGTTGGTGGTTTCTTCATTGATACAGTTTCTAAACGCATCCAACCGTAACTTCTCTTTCTCGATTAACACGTCTTGTTGTTTCTGTGCCTCGCGAAACTGACTGAGGAAGCCCAGGATCTTTTCCCGACATTCAATCCCTTCATCACCGTTCTTTGCCACCTTTTGCCAATTATGAACCTCTGTCCGAATTTGCACCTACATGTAGGACAAAATCTGCCTTTACTGGTAATAGACATTAAAGTGATAAAAAAATCCTTTCAAAAAAGTTATTTTACAGTTTGGATCAGGGACTGAAGTACCTCGTATTTCAAAAGTTGCAAAAATATTACGACTTTAATTCAAAGGCGCATAGCAGTGGTCTATAAACCTCTCTCAATTACTTTTACAAGCAAAACTTTTATTCGTTGATAAAATGCAGAATAAATTAGTCACAAAGTTAATTTTCCAAATTGAAAAATGTCATATTTTATTCAAATATTACAATTACAATTTGGCAGTTTTACAAGACTGTAAGCGAAATTATTCACACCTGTAATATTTTCTTTTGTTCTTGATAATGCTGACAAAGTTTGGTAAAGTGTTCAAACTTGTAGTCCGGTGGAGATTGCACGGTGGCGATCACCTATGGAAACGTTAGTTGTCAAACTTAATTTGTTCTTAAAACAAGTATCGACTTTGTCAAATGATACAAAACTAAAGCACCTTTAGAAGATGATACTAATATATACCGTCAAGAAAATTGCCAATCAAGGATTATTATACCCCTCACTCCAAGAGTTAAATTTGTTACAAAATGTCTCAGTGGCGAATTGGGCGTGGCGTTTGGCTTTTACACCCCAGGGCCCAGTTGTTCGAAGGGCGATTGGCGCTAGCCCAAGGTTAAATTTTAATCCGGAGTTCTTTATTCCTTTTTACAAAAAGCCTTTTTGGGATAATATTCTTTATTCTTTTTAGAAGATCCAAGAATCAAATTGTAGACAAATTAAATTGTGCTGAATTTTCTTTTAAAGCTTCCAACCCAGCTTTCAATAACCCAGCCCAGTAATTAGTTAGAATTTTAAAAATGGCTGCATGAGCTTACTGTCTCATACGACGCCACAGCTCAACTTCAGCATGACGTATAAAAGCAGCGTTGAGTTCCAAATGGAAATTAAAATAATTTGCCGTCGCGGTTTCGGTTCGCAGACGACGCAAGTTTTGGCGATTTCACGTTGTTGTTTTGCATAGGACGGCTAAGAAATGTACAAAGTTTCAAAAATGCACGTGCTGGGCTATTGTTCTACCAATTAGATCTCTTGTTTTTCCACGTCCTCGTTGCCTTTCGTCGTCGTGGTTGCTTAAGGTCCCTTTTGTATCGTGCATCAAAAACCCAGCCTCCATTCGAAAATATTTCTCTGCAATTTAATCCTACATCACTCCAGAGAGTTCTTGGTTGGAATTCCGAAGGAGGTGTTACAATACAAGGTTTTTCATCGAAGCTTTTAGTTGATGATTGTAAACTCATGTTATACTACACGTTATTTCGACATACATAACACATGCACATTTCATCAAAGATTGTTACAACTCCAAATACAGGAGAGCACAAACAAATGAATTAAGATGAAATGAGAAAAGGAAAACAGTGATTAAATTAATCACATGATTTTCAAGAAAGAAGAAGAATTTGAACTTGTTATCTGTGATGTCAATCTGATATCAATATTAAAGCCGACATGGCTGACTTACCTGTCTCACGGATACATCACACGAACAACAATATTACTAACTAATGGCGTATACGAGTCATGTTACACAAATGTTCACAACACACTGATGGACTCTATCTTCACTTTGTCTTTTCGTCTTTGTCGGTCAGTCACAAATTGAGAATACACAAGGCTGAAACACACAACTCGAAACAAACATTGAGTAACAAACAAAACGTACAAATAGTATAAAAGACACGTTTCTATGGATTGTCAGAATAGATGCAAAGAGATATTTCAACGAGTAATTACACGAGATAGGCACTGAAGATTAACTGAGCCGTAATTTGTGGCTAGAAGACGCGCCCATAGACATTTTTTGGTTACTTCAAATTACACAATCCTAAAGTTTGGCTCGTAATTTTATGATCTTCACGTAACATTGAATAGAACAAACTCAACTTGAATCTTCCTTTCGGAGGATTACAAGCAGTAAAATCAATTTATGTGAGGAAGTGTCGAAATATAATTGTTTTGGTCTAGTTCCAGTTTCTATTTGGCACGATCTGACAACCAAATTCTGGTGCTGAGCGGTGGATAGAAAAAAAAAATCAATGTATGTCATTTTCATGAAAATAAGAACTCAAAATATCGCACTATTAGATCAGCAAGAATATTACCCTTCCTAATATTCGATTCGATTCACAAATTGTTCATCGGTTGCCAACAACGTCCATTTTCGTTTGGCAAACACCAAGACAACACACAGGAAGTTTGTATAAACCTTAACTGACAAGATATAAATGAATCAATAGCAAATAAATTTAATTATCAGACCCAGCGTCGAGTTTATTTCCTTCTTTTTAACGTTTGTATAAAAATGGAAAATGTCTCGGCCAGGAAAAGATAGCCACTTACCGCAGTGCTATTATTTTGTTTTACCGGTGGTAATGCGGGTGGCTTATTCGCCAAGCCCACTGAACTCATTGTAGTTCCCATGGTAACCGGCTTAAATGGCTTGGTTATAGACAAACAATCTTCTCCAAATTTCCTCCTGAAAGTAAAAATATAAAATACTGGAATGTTAAGACGTAGTAATTCCGTAGAATCATCACTAGTTTGGGAAGCGAATTGTATTTTTGAGTACGCGGCCGGACATTTCTGTATAATCTACCTGTTTGCAAAATTTCAAGGTAATGAATCTCTCACCTGCTATGGAATTATCCTCAAGAATAACTTAGCTCTTAAATTTTTCTTAATAAAATGGAGATATTGGAAATTAACAGCAGAACCCTTACCTGAGAAAGTAGTGGTCTGTCTTATATTCTTTGCGTCTTGGTTTTAATCGGAGCTGCAAATTGACTTGGTTGAGCGAGTTTGCCGGCAGGGAGCTTTTTTCAGAGGGTCGGTTTGAGACGAAAAGACTTTCTTCCTTCAGTAAAAACGTTCTGAATAGAATTCTTTACTTGCCGGTTGATTTCAGTGGGCTATCTGTCCTGCTGTACGTTTTGCGGACTCTATGCAGTGCTAGTGTAACCTGATGATGTGAAGTCATCGTGTCAAAGGTGTGCGGTATTGACTGCAAGGTTAATACGCCCTTCAGTATTGCACATATGACACCACATGTACATGTCCTTCAATTCTGCCAGGATCCGAGCAGGGCGAGCCCGTGTCAGCGGTATCACAAACCGAGGTGTGGCCTATGAAATCTGTCAACTTTTCGAGTAGTTTAAGAACGGCGAGAAAAACAAGACTTGACGCTTTGTTTACGTTGATACAATATTTGAAGTGATGAATAAATTAAGAATAAAACATCTGCGTTTTCAACGAGCGCTGACAGTTTGCAGCCTAATCGAGATATCAATGTTATCTGTAGCACGCTACAAGCAAAAGCCTACAAAGACACATTTTGTGATCATTTGATTTTTATTTAATTCAAAGAATAGAGAGAACCTGTTATGTTAATTTTTCGCAGCTTCGTACGGACCAGATGATAAGATTTGCTTAACAAAACAGCGTTAGTTTGTATTGCCAGGTGCGGCTGTTTGAGTAAAGACGAGATTGATTTAAGACAGAAAATGACTTCAGAAACCTGGCAACTTGTCGGAACATTTTGTAAAGATGCAGATGGAGTACGTATCGAAATAAGTGAAAAGTCATTAAGGTCGGCACACACGAGGGGACTAGTCCCTGCGACCAGTCCGTGCGACTAGTCCCGGCGACAAGTCTTTGAAGAGTTTACACGAGGGGACCGGTAGCAGGGACTAGTCCCTTAAGGTTTTCAGACGAGGGCACTCAATTGCACAAGAACATAGGAAAATTAAGAGGCAAAAGATGTTTCTTAGTCTGGGGCGTTATACGAAAACAATTAAAATTTGGTAACTTTTCATTGTAGCACTATTAAACATCAGCGCAAACGAACTACTCTTATTCAGTCGGATTATTCATGCTTTTACGTGTTCCGTTTTTGTTTTT